GTTATACTTGGAGAAATAAAATCTGACTGGATTGATGTAACTAGCGGGGTTCCCCAAAGTTCTGTGTTAGGACCAATTCTCTTTGTCATATTTGTTAATGACCTGCCATTTCATGTCAAATCAGCCATCTGCAAAATGTATGCAGATGACACAAAGCTCATGAAAATTGTTGAAAATGATGAAGACCGAGCAGGTTTACAACCCGATCTAGACGAGATTGTTAAATGGACGCAAACCTGGCTAATGGTGTTAAATGTTAAAAAATGTAAAGTTATGCATGTAAATTCTGGAACAATAAAATTTGATTACATTATGGATGAAATCAAAAATGACGGTACAACCAATAGAGTAGTTTTAGAAGTCACAAATTCTGAAAAAGATCTTGGAATTCTAATCTCTGAAAATCTTAAATATGCTCAACAGTGCAATATAGCTGCAAACAAAGCAAATAATATGCTTGGAATTCTTAAACACACGTTTGTATCAAGAGACATTGACATTTGGAAAAAAATTTATACTGCATATATTAGACCACACCTGGAGTTTGCCATACAAGCCTGGAACCCTTACCTTGATAGTGACATAAAAAAAATTGAAAAGGTACAACGCAACGCAACGAAAGTTCCTCATGCTTTGAAAAATAAAGACTACAAAACTCGATGTAAAATCATGAAATTAACTACTTTTGAAGACAGACGGAAAAGAGGCGATCTTATTCAAAAATATAAGCTTCTCAACAAGTTAAACCTAATTGATTGGCATGTAATGCCTGGCAGGATAGCACCTAGAGCTCAACATTGAATCAGATTTCATTGCGAGATTGTCAGGAACTGTGAAATCAGACATAAGTTTTTTAACAACCGTGCAGTCAATGACTGGAATGCTTTGCTAGATAATGTTATCGAGGCAACATCACTTGATAAATTTAAACAACTACTAGATAGTTTTCAGTCATCATAGTTGCTACAACTCATCATTTACCGTAAATGCCACACAAAAGTGGCCGAAATACTAAAAGATCTACAAAAAAATTATTATTACACTGTCTTTAAAATTTATTTTTTACTTTCTTTAGTGAATGGATGTTTTTCTGGTTATTTTTAACATGCCAATTTCAAATATGCAATCTATTTGCTTGTATCACATCAAAACTTTAAAAAAAATTGAATTTATATATTGACCACAACAAAAGTTCTACCAAGACTTTTATTATTTAACATATATCATTTTATTAAAAAAAAGAGAAATAAATAGAAAAATTTGTCATTGCTCATAAACAATTTGATTCAAAACAAATATCAAGTTTATTGAGTAGTTTTAAATTTCTTTCATATTGACGATGATATTTTACTTTGGGGGTATCCCGTTGGAGCAACCAGCAGTAGTCTGTTAGCATTGCACTACCCCATTGTCCTTAGTATCGTGATTCTATTAAAGCAATTTGCTGATGGAAACACTCTCCATGCTCTTCACTGACCTCACCAAGATATTCTGGAAAAAAGTTGAGATCAAGAAGATGAATTTTAAGAGATATCTCACACCCCATGTTCTGGAAAGCATCTATACACTGTTTAATCACTTCTATGTAATTGCTAGATTTATTATTTCCTAAAAAGTTGGCAAAAACGGATTTAAAAGCTAGCCATGCCTCAAGATCTTTTCCATTTAGTAGATCTTGAAAATGTTGATCACCTTTCTGATCTGAGGGCCCACAAAAATTTCTTTCTTTATTTTAGCATCACTTACTCATGGAAACATGGAACAAACATATGAAAACATCACTCATCTTATCCAAAGCTTTTATGAGTTTTAAATGAAAATCCTTTTATTACTGTCATGCAAAAGTAACAATCAGTGGCATGATTTGTTGGTTCTCCCCATACCATTGGAACTTTAAAGGGCATTGACTAGTGTTTGTGACTTTCGCAACCATCATACTAAAGTATTTTCACAAATGGAGCAAATGATATTAGGTTTCCACTGTTTTATCGCATCAATTACTTTGGAGTTCATAAGCTTTTTTTAATAAAGGGTCATTGTTTTCAATCCACAAATGTAGCAAAACAAATCAGAAGAATTCAACCATTTTTGAGTAGCCATGTCAATAATATTTATTATGAGAACAAAGTAGGAAAGCGAAAAGCAATAAAAGTATGGCATAGAATGTACTACAGATAAAGGCTTATTTTTAAAAAATGTTTAAGAGCGTTCCAAAAAATGTTTTTTTTTGGAAAGCGATGTGATAGAACAAAACAGTTTTCAGATTTGAAATAAGCGTAAAAAACTTATATAAATACAATTATTGTTTTATGGAAAAGAAAAACTGTGTTTGTCAGTGTTATCAAAGAAGCTAAGCCAGCCATAAAAAGTAATACTCAGTTTTATAATTAATCCCTTAAGCAACAGATAAATAAAAAAAGACACTATTCTTGCTTGAAAGAAAAAAATGCGATTGAAAGAAAGACTCAAAGAGTTAAAGGGTAAATCTTTTGTTGAAATTAACAAAGATACCAGTGAAGACTCCTTGTGCAATTCTGATTATAATTCTGGTGAGTGATTTGAACAAGAATCTTTTCAACAGAAAGTCACTGCTGAAATACCAAGAGATATTTATGCTGGTAATGTAGCTCTTATGACTACAATCAGTGACTTCTTGGAGTACCTTCTTTATCATCATCCTTTGGTGAAGACTAGTTTAATGGTGTATATATATATATATATATATATATATATATATATATATATATATATATATATATATATATATATATATATATATATATATATATATATATATATATATATATATATATATATATATATATATATATATATATATATATATGTATATATATATATATATATATATATATATATATATATATATATATATATATTATATATACACTACCCGCAGTTAATTTGAAAGCAGCAGTTAAAAACAGTATTTACATTTCAAAAATAAATATATCTGATTATCATATTTGTACTTCTTTATTTTTGGATCAAAAATAAATAGAACACAATAAAAAAGAGGATAGAATAGGATATGAGCATTTTTGCACCCAAAAATTTGCTTATGTACAAAAGTATACAAAAGTGTATGTGCTGAGTTCTTCCAGCATAAAAGACAATACAAGTATTATTTTTAACTGTTACTTAATTTTGATTAATGACTTGTAATTGATATTAAAAATATAATTTTTCTCTTTGGTAGCTTTTTGCAGATACTTTATGTAGATCCAATATAATATATAATTACTTTCAAATGAATATACAAATATTGTATTATTTTAACTGTTTATTTTTTTTAGTTTCTATTTTGTCGTACTAAAATGGCTCCAGTTCAAGAATTAAGCTTTGAAAAGAAAGTTTGCATTGTTTTACTTGATAAAAAAGGTGTTTCAGAAAAAAAAATTGCCAAAAGAATGAAAATATCAAGCTCTGGACAAGGATTCAGGTGGTTTCACTTATCTTCAAGAGAAGTTCAAGACCACTCTTGCACCAGCAAAAATAAGTGCCGGTGTGTTCACCGGACCTCAAATTTGTGAAGTCATTTGTGATCGCCTTCAAGACACAGCTACAGCCTGCTCAGTTGGCAGCGTGGGATGTTTTTGTGGTTTCTAATTTTTTAGAAAACCACAGGTCTGAGAACTATGAAGAGTTAGTTGAAAGATTACTAACAAAATAAAAGGATATAGGATGCAAAATGTCCATAAAAATTCACTTTTTGCACTCCCATCTCAGTTTCTTTACACCCAATCTAGGTGCAGTCAGCAACAAGCAGGGTGAACGTTTTCACCAAGAAACATCAACAATGGAAAACAGATAACAAGGGAGGTATTACAGCAACATGATGGACAATTATTGTTGCTTTTTACAGTGAGAGTGTGACACTAATTACAAAAGAAAAGCAACATCGTCTAATTATTTTTGATTTCAAAAATAATTAGACTGTATTACAATTGCCTGAAGTTATTTGTGGATATGATACTGTATAGTTGCTTTTGCTCTTCTATTTACATAAAATTTTTACTTATTTTATTGAAATTTTGAAGCATTGATATTATATTTTTAATGATCATAAAGTGTTAAAATGGTAAATCAAGATGTCAATATCTCAGCGTAGTTAAGGAGAGATCCAAAAAAAATATAGCATTTAGACCCTTTCGTTTTCAAAAAATGCTGTTTTATTCTGTATGTGTTTTGATTCTTTATTATTTTAAAGAATCACGAAGCTAGTTGTTTTGTTTCGTTTACAAATATTCAGTGATTTTATTATTTACGAGTGTGAAGTTTTAGCTTAGTACTATGGGGCAGAAGTTATATGAAAACTGAAACGCTTTTGTTTAGTAATTTATTCAAACCACTATAAAGAGCTTATGGTAGTAAATTGCTATGAGTGAAAACTAATGTGAAAACTTTGATTTTAACGTTTTTACTGTTTACAGAAAGATAAAATAAGAGTTTTTTAGTCATTTGTTGAATATTTTAATGCTGTAAACAAGGAGTCTTTTTAATTTTGAATAAAAGAGACATTTTAGAAATGTAAATACTAAACACAGTTTCAGCTGTTTTTATGACGCTGCCCTGTCGCATTTAATGTATTTTAGTGGTAGTTTTGTTTTGTTTGATGCTTTCGTTAAATAAAGATTTATAAAAAAATAATAAATTATATAAGAAAAGCTTAAATTCTACTTTTTTTAAATATATAACACTAATAGTCAAAAATAAGCAGAAAACACAAAAAATTGAAGTTTAAAAATTGAAATTTTTGTTTTTAGGTAATGCAAATTGTTCGGATCTCTCCTTTAATGCTGACTTTAAAACCTTACGTGATACACAATTTTCAACGACATATTTGGAAACAGCAGGTCGAAATGGTCTTAGTACGCTTAATAGATCTTAGGTTTTTAAAAATCCTTAGTGTATTTTGTGATGTATTCCTATTTAAAAAACAAAAAAATTATTTAGAAATAAATTTTAAATTATAACAGTACTTGTAGGTTGTTCCCATTCCACCTCCTTTTGCAGTCATCATTATTCTTGTTGATAATGCCATTAAAAGTTCATCTACTTGAATCCCAAGAAGCTTTGCAGCATTTGATACAAACTTTTCTGAAGTCGAAGTAACTTGACACCCTCCTTTTAAATTTTTAAACAAAAAGTTGTTAAAGGAAGAAAAATAGAATTTTTTAAAATTTGCAAATGAAAAACAAGTAAAAAACTAAGAATGAGAAACCTTTTTTATCACTAATGCTTTCTTGAAACTCTATGTTGCCAAGGTGCAATACTGCTGCTGTAACCCGATAGATATCTGATTTCTGTGTCAATGTTATTCCAACAGCATTCATGGCATTGTCCAAAAGAGTAAAATCTTTTGCATCGTTTATTTCTTTCTCATTTAGTGAGCCTTTGTTTAAGTACTAAAAAAAACTCATATAAATTATAGGCACAAATAATAAATGAATTACCACACATTAAAAATATTTTTTATATAAAACAGTTTAACCTTTTTTAAAGAAAATTAAAAGTATAAAATTACTTACATTAAACATTGCAGTTTCAGAAAGTCCTAAAGCTTTTTTCATATCGCTAGGTGCTCCTGTGCACATTCGATAAAAAATATGATAATTTCTTTCACCAGGATTTTGTCGACATATACGAGACTTTTCAAGAAGGTAATGTGAGATAAAAGCACCAGAAACATTAGCCTAAAAAAAATGACTTTTAACTATTGAAAGCATTGTTCTGTGTAATAGTGATAAAACATATATTTCTGTTAAGTCTTAGTTGATAAAACACAGTGCAAAATTAAAAAAGTTTGATAAGTAATTTTCCACAAATTTATTATTGCTCTGTTCTTTTAAGAATACATTCAAAATTATTCATTATTCATTTTAGAACACATTAAAAATTATTTGTGTATATATATATATATACATATATATATATATATATATATATATATATATATATATATATATATATATATATATATATATATATATATATATGTATATATATATATATATATATATATATATATATATATATATATATATATATATATATATATATATACATATATATATATATATATATATATATATATATATATATAAATTACCTGAGCATCAAAATGAACCTCTACATATTTTCCAAATCGACTGCTGTTTAAATTACGAAGAGTTTTTGAGTTTCCGAATGCTTCAAGCAAAGGATTTGCTTAGAAAAAAGAAAAAAAACTTTGAATTAAATGAATTAAATAAAAACTTTGAATTAAATGAATTAAATAAAAAGCATATAAAAATAGATACTAAAAAAATAAACATAAATTAAAACTTTATACATTGATATTGGAACTTAACAATATATTTTAAACCTGCGTTTTATTCAACTTTTGTTTGGTTGCAAAATACTTAATATTTAAAACAATTTTTTCAAACATATTTAGAATATTTTCAAATATATTTAGACCAGAAGTAACATTGAAACTTAAGTTAATGCTAAGAGGAAACAAATGAGTGTTCTTGTTAATGATTATATCATCTCTAATCTCTGGTTTCTTTATTTCAAAATAAGAAAGATAAAAAAATATCTTTGGGATAATTAAAAAGTTTCTGTATTGCTGTATGTATAACAATCATGTGGTTTACATGTATTGACTTTTGAAATTGAAATGAACGACAACATGAACTTGTAATTCTGCAATTTTTCTTATTTCTATCTTTTTACACTTAGTTTTTAATAAAGGTGTGGTAAGTTATTCCTTTTGGTAATCAGTTTACTATATCAAAACACACTTGTAGTAATCAGGTTTTAGATTTTTTTTTATAGCTTAATATGCTACAATGCTTTGTTATTTTTTATTACTATACATTACCAAAGGATCAATCAAAAAAAATAAATCAAAAAAAATAAATCAAAAAAAATCAAATCAGCTCTTACTCAAAATTACTTTTAATTTGAGAGTGAATTTTTGAACATAATTAATTACTTTTTAGTTGCTTTTAATTTCTTTGTTAACAAATTCAAAAACAATTAAAGTGCAAAAAACAAAGAAGCAAAAAAAAAATCATAGTCCAAGTTCACTAAATCTATCAAGTTCACTAAATCTACCAAGTTCACTAAATCTATCATTCACTAACATCATTAACATAGTCAGCTTTCCAACTTGCTTTCCAGACAATCCAAACCTTCTCAACTCTGATCTTTCTTGGAAATATATTTTTATCTAAAATCTATTGCAAAATTAGCATCTGCTTAGTTTACATCTCTTTATTGTGCTAGAAACTTTCTTACTTCTAGTTCTATTCTTTATCTCTATAAATCTCAAAACGGTCCTTGTATGAAATACTGTTGCCATATCTGGGACAGATCTTCCAATGATGCTCTTTTTCTTTTAGACAAAGATACAAAAATGGATTGTAAAAGCCTTGGGCCTGCTCTTGCAGCTAACCTTCAACCATTATCACATCATTGTAATGTTGCTTCTCTTTTTCTTTTCTACAAATACTATAATGGGCACTGATCTAAAGAGCTAGCGTCTTTTGTGCCATCTACTAAAATTCATTCTCACGTTACTCGTCATTCAATTAAGTCTCATCATTTTTCTGTGACTGCTCCTAAGTGTTCCAAAAACTCTTATTTGTCAAGTTTTTTTCCTTAAACATCAGTTTTTTGGAATTCGCTTTCTTTTTATTGCTTTCCTGATTCATATAATTTGCAATCTTTTAAGTTGCTTGTCAATCGTTATCTTGCTCTGCAAACTCCATATTTTCTCTTCCACTAACTTCTAACTCTAACAGTGGTTGCTTGCAGCCTTGTTGAAGATGTTGAAAAAAAAAAAAACTCGCCTTTTATCTTGTTTTTGATCCTAGTCAGTGCTTAGTTTCTCTGCATTTACCCTTAAGTGGTTCTGATCAGGGTTTATTTTTCTAAAACTATTATCTCATTCTTCTTTATCAACAAAATTCTCCTAATGGAACCTTTTATTCCCTCTCAACAATTCCAAGTCAAGCCTCACTCTTTTCCATAGTTTTCCTCTCATTGTGCTGCTTCAATATCCAATTGTAACAACTATTTCCATATCTATCACCAAAAGAATTCTCTAGAAAATAGACGCCTGCTAACTATCGCTAGAAATCCTTGTAAAAAGGTTATGTCTAATGCCAAAACATGCTATTCTCAGGCCAGAAAATCTCGTACTTTATCTAAAAAATTAGGCTCCAGAGACTTCTTCAAAATTTTTACTAGCTTCTATAAGAAATGCAAATCATTTATTCCACTTCTCTTGCATAGTTTAGATTTTGTTACTTCATCTGTTACAAAGATGAGTAGTATGTTAATAACTTTTCATCAATCTCAGTTTTTTTGTCCATTAATCACATCCTACCTGATATAGCCGACAAACAGGATAATTGATTGCTTGACTTTCATATTACTCCAGCTTTTGCATCTAAAGTGATTTAATGCTTGTACTTTTCTATAGCTTGCGGTCCGCAAAACATACCTGTTATAGTCTTGTAGCAGTGTTCTCTGGAGCTATCATCTATACTTTCAAAACTATTTAACAAGTGCATATCAGAGTTTTGTTTTCCAGCTTGCTGGAGAGTGGTTATCATTCATTTTTAAAAGTTTGGAGAAAAATCTGACTCATCTAACTAGGGTCCCATTAGTCTTCTTACTATCATAAGCAAAGTTTTTGAATCTTTAATTAACAAACACTTAATCTCTCATTTTGAATCTAATAACTTACTTTTATATCATCAATATACATTTTGATCTTCTTGTTCTACTGTTGATTTGTCAACGGGAATAACCGATAGGTTTCATACTGCATTAAATAGATGTGGAGAGGTTCGGAACATTGCTCTCAACAATTTTAAAGACTTAGATAGAATTTGGCATGCTGGTCTTCTCCATAAGCTCTCTTTGTACAGCGTATCAGGTAACTTCTTTAAGACTATTGAACACTTTTTTACTAATCGTAGTATAAAAGTTGTCCTCGTTTTTTTTTTCATTTCCTGTAACTTCAGGGGTTCCTAAAGGTTCTATTTTTGGTCCTATACTTTTTTAAATTTACATTAAAAATCTCCTAGAAATTTTCACATCAAAGGTGGCATTGTTCACTGGTGATACTACCATTTATTTTTGTCTTGAAAACAAACCATATTTCTCTGATTTCTAAGAAGAAGCATTTGAGTATGAAAAAGATCTCACTTCTGCTACAGCATGGGGCCCTCAATGGCTAATGAACTTTAAATCAGATAAAACTTTACTCTTAAAAGTTTTATAAGCTAATAGCTATCACAATAACCTAGATCTTCCTATATTTATGAACAGTAATGTACTTGATGAGTCATCTACACTTTGTCTTTTAGGATTAACTCTAACTTCTAATTTTTATTGGAAACCATATATCTCAAACATCAGTTTCTTTGAAATTCTCTCCCTTCATCTTGTCTTCCTGATTCATATAACTTGCAATCTTCTTAGTCACCTGTTAATCTTGCTTTATCAAACTTTATCTTATATTTTCCAGTAACTTCTATCTCTCATAGTGGTTGTTGCAGCCTTGTTGGAAGTGAAGTTACTTCCATGTATAATTAAAAAAAAAAAGTTTAATAAAAAAAAAAAAAAAAAAAAAAAACTACAACAATATGGTTTAAATAAAAACAATAAAAAGATATATGAGATCATCATCATATTGACATCATCATGAGACAGGTTATGACATTCTTAGTTATGGCAAAGAAAAGTTATAAAGGAAAAGAAGAACTCTGGAATAAAATTCTTTTTTAAATTTTGGATAAATGTAGAAGGTGCTTGTAAACCTTAGGTGGTAATCTCACTTTCGATAGTAGCACAAAAAAAAATACTTAGTTCCAATATGAAAAACAGATAAACAGCAGGAAAGGCAATCAGTAGTGGAACATTTAATTTGCTATGTCATATTTAAATAAGAAAATGACATAACAAAAACCTGCCTAAACCAAACAAGTGTGGAACATAAGCATTACACATAAATAAATAATAATATTATAAAATATTTTTAAGGAACTGCACAACATTTAACTACTTTAATTCTAGTTTTACCTTCAAGAATTCTTTGTTCAATTTTTGTGCTAGCTCCACATGTTTCTGTTAAGTATCTGAAATTAAACTCATATTCATAACATATGTGTTTAAAAGTTAAAAAAATAAGTAAAGAATAATTAAGTTAAAAGAATGCTAAAAAATTAAAAAAAAGACAAAACTCTTATGGTTAAAATAAAATAAAAAATAGATATATATTAAAAAAAAACAATGTTTTTTTCATAAAAGTTTGCAGAGACATTTTCAGGAATTAGTATTTTTTAGACCAAAAAAAAACAAAAACATCTTTTCTTTTAAACACTGAAATAATTTAAAAAAATAATTGTGGGTAATTTTATTAAAAGACTTGTTTTTATTGATCTATTTAGCACACCAATCAGTATTGTCTTAAGAAATCTTTAAATGTTTATCAAATAATTTCACTAATTGTTTTTCAATTACTTATTAACCATGTCCTGCTGCCTTATAGGATTTCCTTTTCTAGACAAAGGCTAGAAAAAAAAGCTATTGGTTGAGTGTGAGATTGTGGCTGAAGATTGTGTCTCCACATATTTATCTTGTAAAAAGTAAAAATTATAGAAATGCATACACGCATAATTTCAATGTAAAGTTAAATTTAAATTTAATAATCTTTAAATATTTTTTCAAGATTTTCGATTTGAAAACTCTCCTAAAGAAGTTATTTTTAGCACAAAAATGTTTAGATCAATCTCTGTCCAAAATTTTGCATTTCGAAATGAGATTGATCTAATCATTTCTGTGTTAAAGATAACTTCTATGCATATTGTTAACTTCACAATTGTGGAAATTTTAAAATTTGTAATTAAGATCTTAATTTGATATATGAATGTCCAATATATTTATATATTGTATTTTAACATTAATATTATTATTACCAACTAAGACATAATGGAAAAAACTATGAAAAAAATTGTACTGATTTGACAAGTTAAAAAATATGTTATTAACATTTTTAATTTTATAAAAAATTTAGATGTGTAATCATTGTTCAATCAGGTGTTTAATCATTGTAGGTGTTTAATTGTTGTAACTCTCTGAATAAACTGAAAAAAAATACAAATGATATAGATACATTTTAAAATACCATAGCATTATAAACTTTTTTGTTTAAACTGTTTTACTTTTAAAAATTTTAATGTTTTACAAAGAATAATAAACAACAATACAGTGAAACAATTCAAAAATATTTTAGTTAAATTAACATAAAAACTTTAAAGGATTTTTAGTTTCAATGTTTTACCTTTTTTTTTTTTTATATTCTTATTTTTCAAATTTTTTATTTCGATTTTTATTTTCTTTCAGTTTAAAATTTTATTGACTTCAAAACAATTTTAAAAATAATTTAAAAAAAACTTTAACAAGTGATTTAATAAGTGCATCATTATTTATTTATAATTATTTCATTATTTATTTATTATTTCATTATTTATTTATTATTTCATCATTTATTTAATATTTTATTATTTATTTAAAATTTCATTATCTATTTATTTGAATGATCTTTTTGTCATAAGTTTATATTTACATGTCATAAGATTATATATATAATATATATGTCATAAGATTATATATATATAAGTTATTATTAATCAATTATTTTATTGTTAAGAATAGGATCACATTTAAGGATAAATTAAGAAAGTAAAATTATAAGTAAAAGTAATATTTAAAAAAAAGAACCTAATCTAAAATTATTAACAAACATTGAACAAATTTGTTTTACAAATATTTACAAACTTAAGTTACCTCAAAATATATTTAGTCGACTCCGTTTTTCCAGCACCACTTTCTCCTAAAGTAAATATAATTTAGTATAATCTAAGTTTTTAAACCAAAAAAAAATTTATGCGAACAACATAAAAAACATACCACTGACAATTATAGATTGACTTAGTTTTAAAACTTTCATGTCTCTATATGATTTGTCCGCTAAAAAAAAATATACATACTCATGCATTTTTTTATATGTAAATTTATGTATTTCTTTTATAAAATAATTACATATTTTATATTTATGAAAAACACTTTAAAAAATTCATTTTTAGTCAATGTAAAATCTTTATTATAAACATATAAAAAATTTTCAAACCTATTGCAAATACATGTGGAGGAAGAACTCCTAATGACTTTCCTTTGTACTTTGCAATGGTTTCTTTTGTGTACAAATCAGGGATTTCTTGATAAGGATTCAAAGCAATAAGGATATTTGCAACATATGTCTGAAAAAATATATTGTATCAACAAGTATAAAAATAAATGCTAACTTTTATAAAATACAAAAAAAATAAAAAGTGAAAAAAAACAATGTGATTTCTTATCAAATCAGAAAAAAAATTAAACAATTTAATTTTCCTAAAAAAGTATAAAATAAAATTAACTTTACAAGAAAACAATTGTAATATTGTATCCTTTTTTTTTAGTTTTTTTTTAGTTTGTTTGTTTTTTTGCTTTTTTTTGTTTACTTGGATATCTTATTAGCACATATACCGATAAGTAAACCTACAAGTTTATATATATATATATATATATATATATATATATATATATATATATATATATATATATATATATATATATATATATATATATATAAAGTACTCGTAGTAGCCACCTGTAGCTCAATTAGTTAGGGCAACATAATTTATTAGGAGTAATATTTATCAATAATATTTATTAATATAATATTATAACACATTAATATTTTGATGGCCTAGAATAAAAACCTCGAAAGTCTAGGAGCCGAACTGGAAAGAAGCTGTTTTTAAGGTTCATACTTAATACTTATATCTAATACTGTATTTTTAAAATATAATTTGGATACCTTGAAAAATCACATTACATGTTACATAACATGATACCTACTATTTTAAACATTGACGAGTTTTTCTACAGAAATCTGTAAAAACATAAACATCCACATTTTTTAAGTTACGAGGTTTTTATTTTAGGCTATTGATTTGTTGTTTCTAGATTCATATCCTGCCATTGTATGAGACGTTGTCCATAAATTACCCCATACAATTTTTGGCAGTTTTTGACCCCCTCCCCCTTGTCACAACATCGTAACACTTTAATAACAAAAGTCCCGAATGAGTTGTCACAAAACTACTAACCTTTCTCCCCTTCCTCCCTAGAGTGTGACCCAATTTATGGACGACCCCTAATTAGTATTAGGAGGACCTGAAAGTAATGCCTGAAAGTAATGCTGTTTCTCTGCATGTTGATAGTCATCTGTCATTTTTCAGCACACTGTGAATGCCAATGTTGTGGCAAAAATATTTTATTGTAGAAATAAAAAATTAAAGCAAGAGTGACATATTAAAGTAATTTAAAGCAAGAATAGCATTTTAAGGTAATAGTGGAATTTAAAGCAAGAGTGACATTTTAAGGTAAGAATGACAATTTAAAGCTAGAGTGACATTTTAAAGTAAGAGTTACATTTTATCATACCTAAATAATAAAAGTGGCGTTTATAAATCTAGATAAATTGGACCAAATAAATGTTTAAAACAAATATGTAAAATAAAAACAAATAAACTCTTTAAGAACTAACATAAATTATTTAATAAGCAAAATAAAAAAGTTTTTAAATTAAAAAAAAACTTGTCAAAAACATACATAAATTTTTTTTCTTTTGTAACGAAGTCTTAAATTATGCAATAGTGTTGCTTCATTTAAATGCATCAATGAACCTATAATTTATTTATAAAATTCAAATTAAATTCAAATTACAATTTAATAACACAAAAATTGAAAAAGAAAAAAAGAGACTAAAATTTGACTAAATAAACACAACTAGTTTAAAAACAACATTATTAGAAAAATAAAATAACATCAATAAAAATGATGAAAACACATAATTAGAAATATAAAACACCATTGATAGAAATGATAAAAACACATCATTATTAGAAATATAAAATATTTTTGATAGAAATGATGAAAATACATGATAAAAACAGAAATTTTTTATTCTTTCTGATTTCCAAGTAGATAGAAAAATGAGTGAGAAAAAAATAAAAAAAAATAAAAATGGAGCTGGTAAAAAGTAGTAAACATTTTAATTTATACTTTAAAGTGTTTTAAGTCAGATTATCCCTTTTTTTTTTCTTTATTGCTGCTCAGACTGAATATATAAAAATTTCTTACAATTGTCCTCATAATCTTTTTCTCCATCATCTTCAGAAGCATAAACCCTGTTGTAGGGAGCTACTACACGCTAAATGAAAATATATTCTTTTGAAAAATTTCAATGCATTTTTATACTGTTAAATAAATCACAATTATTAATAATTCACAGTGAATCCAGCAAAAAATTTCTAAAATAAAAAATTAGAAGATAAGAAAACCATTAGTACTTAGAGATACTGTATTTCTTGATGTTTTACTGTAAGTAATATATATTCTAATCTTAATCTAATATAGCGTATATAGATTACAAATTGTGTCTTATTTTTCCTACCTTTATAGCACACAGCATTTTTAGAAAAATAAAAATAAAAGAAGAATGACAGAACCCTTTGTTGATGTAGCCGCACTCCTTTGCGACAGCAGGCTTTAAGATTTTTTAGTCCCTATTCTTATGATCTAGGACTGATTGTTAACATTGGTGTTAGGCCTAGCATTAGACTTGCTAGGATTATTTTGTTTATTGTGGAATTTTAGGAATTCTTTTCTTACTAGAAAATAATTTTTACCTAACACTTTCATTGCAGTTATAAATGTTAATCTTGTTGGAGAAGTAGAAGAGAGGACAAGAGCTTCCCCCAGGAGAGGACAAGAGCTTCCCCCAGGAAGTATGAGAATAAACCTAGTATCTTATAAGGAGAAAAAAGAAGACAGAAAGATATAGTCATAAGGGAGTTGCCCATCCAGAACTACACAAAAGAAATATTCTAAAACAGAAAAGGTCAACAGGAGAAGAATATGTTACAACAAAGGGCACAGTAGTTGAACTAAAGATTTTTATTAACAGAGATTGTGGTTGCAATCTAGAGTGCAGCAGTAAAATAACAGTTGCTTGCCATAATCAAATTTTTTCAAACTTTTACACAATGAACATGGATTTAAAAAACGTCATTGTAATGGGTTCTGTTGATGTAAAAGAAAAACACAGGACATATACTGCATCAAATAATTCCCATATGGCAAATAGTCGTACCTATAAACTAACTGATACATGTGGAAATATTAAAAAGATTTGCAAAACTTACTTCAAAGACACATTGCAGATCCCTGATGGGACAATAACAAATATTTTAGCAAGGAAAAAAAACAGAATGAACACCTATCAAAGACCAAAGGGGTAAATCAGCTCCACAAAATAAAAGTAGTGATGAAGACACAAATATATTTTCACCATACGCAATCAGATACATGTCAAAAATGTGATTTATTTAACAATAAAATAAAGTGTTTTTCAGAGGGTGAAGAAAAGAAAACTGTTAGGAGGGACCTTATCATTCATCAAGAGATGGGTTTGAAAGCAAAAGAAAAAATGAAAGAAAATACACTAGATGCACAGACAAATCCAAATGAGAGGGTATTAGTTTTTGACTTACAAAAATCTTTACAGACACCAGTGCTTAGTACAGGAATGGCCTATTATAAAAAGCAATTGTGGGCTTACAACCTTGGAATTCACGATGAAAACTTAAAAACAGGATTTTTGTATGTATGGAGTGAGGAACAAGCATCTAGAGGTACTCAAGAGATAGGATCCTGTATTCTGTGATTGAAAAAGCCAAAAAAACGAAAGACCAAATATTTGTTCCTGATAATTGGATAGACCTATATAGATTAAAAATGCAAAGAAGAAGGCCCTAAAATTTATTGTAAGAAAAATGGAAGCCCATGAACTTCTCAGTACAAAATCATTGAAAAGTGGCATAACCAATAGAAAAAAATTTCCAAATGCCAAAAAAGTTTTATGGCTAAAAACATTCTGGATAAAATTGGAAAAAAAATACTATGCTTATTTCAAATGAAGCAAATACATTTAGAAAGTGGCACATTCATATTGCTGGATTGACAATGCGAAATCGTGGACGGCAATCTGACACTTTCAGTGGCGAACTTGAGCACTTGTACCCCAATGGTAGAAAACTCACAAAAGAAAAGCTAAGTGATCTTTTTAAGCTAATACAATTCATACCTTCTGTCCATTATTATTATTATCTTACTCTTAAAGGTAACGAAGAGGCAAATGATTTGGGCCTAACTGATGATACTGGTGACAAAGACATAAATTAGTGCATCTTACATATATAAAAGATTCATTAACATGTCATAGAAAAAACATCCATTTATCCTAACCAACTCTATTAACAAGACTTTCAAAAATTTGTTATTGCAGAATACAGCAATATAGTGTCCTAATTTTTTAGTACATATACCATTTATATATTTTTTTTTTTTTTTATTTTACATTTGTATTTTTTCAACTGTTTTTATATATACTATCCTTTTGATAATCATACTTTTTCCTGTTCTTTTTTAAAAAGATCCTTAAAGTTTTTTCCAGTTTACGAAAAATGAAGCATTGTGGCTTAAACTATATTTCTGCTAAACCCCTCATATATATTTGTATATATATATATATATATATATATATATATATATATATATATATATATATATATATATATATATATATATATATATATATATATATATATACACATACATATATATATATATATATATATATATACATATACATATATATACATATATATGCATATGCATATATATATATATATATATATGTGTGTATATATATATATATATATATATATATATATATATATATATATATATGTGTGTGTATATGTGTATATATATATATATATATATATATATATATATATATATATATATATGTGTGTATATATATATATATATATATATATATATATATATATATATATATATATATATATATATATATATATTGCGAGTCAGGCTATTTGTCAGTCGATGTAGCAGCACTCCGTTGCGAGTCAGGCTATTTGTCAGTCGATGTAGCAGCACTCCGTTGCGAGTCAGGCTATTTGTCAGTCGATGTAGCAGCACTCTGTTGCGAGTCAGGCTATAAGATAGTCGATGTAGCAACATTTACGCATGTTTTAAAAATGTTTTTTATTAAATCAATAACAAAAACACCACTAATTAAAAAAAACTTTTTAGTCGTTATAATTGCGGTTTTTTAAAAAAATTTTAAAAAACAATTAAATTTAATGTACTTCCGCATAAATTAATTGCTTTGACATTTCGATGACAATCAAAAACAGCTTAAGAGACGAGGTAATTAAAATTGTAGTCGTAAGAGACTTTTTTTACATTAAAACGCTCTTTCGATATTTATTTTTTTACATTAAAACGCTCTTTCGATATATATATATATATATATATATATATATATATATATATATATATATATATATATATATATATATATATATATATATATATATATATATATATATATATATATATATATATATATATATTAGGGTGGAGCGATCTTCATAGCAAAATAAAAAAAGTTTAAAAATCAACATTCCTGAGACACAAATCGATGTCTATTAATTATAAGATGAAAATAAAAAAATATTTTTTGATTTTGATGAGATCTTGAGGTTCCTCTTTGGATTCTAAATTCTTGACAGATCCTAATATTTTTGAATTGTTTTTTTTTCTAAACCATATCAACTTTAGACTCAAAAACAGCAGAAAAAAATGCTTGTTTTATCAACAATAATTAAAAAAAAATTTCAAGTGAAGAAAATATTTGCAAAAATTTACCTTAAAACCCCCATTTTAATGAAGAAGGGTTTTTTTTTATAAAAAACAACATTATTTATTTTTCTTTAGTTTTGAATAAAATAAAACATATATATATATATATATATATATATATATATATATATATATATATATATATATATATATATATATATATATATACATATATATATATATATATATAATATATATATATATATATATATATATATATATATATATATATATATATATATATATATATATATATATATATATATATATATATATATATATATATATATATATATATATATATATATATATATATATATATATATATATAATTGGGTGGTTCAAAAAATAATATTAAAGTGAAAAGAAACATTGAAATTAAGTAAAATTATAAAAATTTCAAAAATTCAAAAATCATTTAATGAAAAAAAATATTGTTTTAGATTTTACTGCATAGCAATTGAAACTTTTTAACTAAAAATTAAAATTTTTATAAGATTTTATGTTTATAATTTTATTTCTCATTGTTTTTTATAAAATAATAATTATTTTTGAAATTTTTATATAACTTTGCTTACATATATATACAAGGGTGGATCGAATTGCGAAGAAGCAATGGAACCGATCTAAGATATTTTCAAAAGTAATTTTTTCTTGTAAATTTATATATTTAACTGAGCAATTGTTTGAAATAAATTAGGAAGGCTGTTTGAATCTGATAAAAAATTTTAGTAAGTCCGTGTGGTGCAAAAAAAAAAAATTGGACTAATGGAATATAGATACATAATGTAATTTCATAGTTACATAGATTAAGACAGTAAATAATCAATATTCTAAAAAAAAAAAACTAAAAAGCCTGAAAATTACCTACCCCCTTACTTTACTAAATAGATTGGATCAATCAAATCAACACCCCTACTCTCATTCTTTCCTAAATGGTCTGAATGCACAGAATCAAAAAAACTTAAAAGTTGCATTAAAATTTTTTTGATTAAGAATCACTTGCTGATTCAATTTTTGATGAAGAATCACTTGCTGATTCAATTTTTGATGAAGAATCAATTATTAATCAATTTTTTGATTAAGAATCACTTGCTGATTCAATTTTAAAGATTTTTGAGATTAAACAAAAAATCTTAAAACTTTGTGCTATAATTAAAGAAATGCTTTTACTAATAAATTAGTAAAAGCACTTATCTTATTTTTTTCCTTCAACAGGCTGTTTCATCAGGAAGACATCTTCCTGATGAACCTACAGTAGGAAACTACAGAGTGTTTTTTTACTAATTTATGTATATATATGTATATATGTATATATATATATATATATATATATATATATATATATATATATATATATATATATATATATATATATATATATATATATATATATATATATATATATATATATATATATATAGTATAATATAATATTTTATATGTTTGATTGTACATATTTTGCAGACAGAGAGTTTTTAATAGAAGGTATACCTTTTCTGCTTCAAAAAGTGTGCGCGATTTTAATTTCATTATTATATTTATTCATTTTAATTCTAAATGTGTGCGTGATTGAAATTCCATTTTTATTTCCATTAATTTTAATTTCAAATATGTGAGTGATTGACCAAAGTTTTTTTAATGTCAATTTGATTAATAAAGTTATCAAAAAATGGAAGGTTTATTAAATTAAAAAGTTTTCTTATTGGCCGTTTAATTAATGAAGTCTTGCATATTTATTTTATTTTTTAATTATTATTTTTGTTTATACTGTGTTACCATTATAAGGTCTACTGCAGCAAGGGGCTCTTAGTGGTTGGTGAACTCCAACTTAGATAAAACTAATTTTTTTTGCTAATTGTTATTGCAACAATCTAGATCTTCCTATATTTATGAATGGTTATGTACTTGATAAGTCATCTACCCTTTGTCTTCTAGGATTAACTTTTACTTCCAATCTTTCTTGGTAATCATATATCAAATCCATTGCACATCTGCTAAGATTGCATCTCTTTATCGTGCGTGCCACTTTCTTTCTGGATTCTAGTTTTTATCTCTATAAACCTCTAATCTGTTCTTGCATGGAATACTGTTTCCATATCTGAAGCAGAACTTCGTATGATACCCTTTGGTACAAAAACACATGTGTTACTCATCATTTAATTAAGTCTCATACTTTTACTGCGACTGTTCTAAGTGCTCCAAAAGCTCTTATTCATCTAGTTTTTTTATTCGAACATCAGTTCTTTAGAATTTGCTTCTTTCTTCTTATTTTCCTTATTCATATAATTTCCAATCTTTAAAGTCTAATTGTTATCTTGCTTTATAAACTTTATCTTTTCTTTTTCAGCAACTTCCAACTCTAATAGTGGTTGCTTGCAGCCTTATTGGAAATGAAGATGTTTTGAAAAAAATTTACTTATTGGGTTTTTTAAAAAAATAAAGAAAATTAAGAATATAAAATAGGCTTTTCTATAAAAAAAAAAAAAAATAGAAGTATAATTGATTATTTTAATGTGTAGTTTTATTTACTTTATCCAAATGTTTGATTTGAAATAAATAAACAGTTTTAACTGTAAACTATTTAAAGTTTCAAAAGTATACACTAAAATAATTACTTCGAAAAACAAACCTTTTGAGGGTTTTCAATTAACTCTAATGTTATAGCATCACTTCCTATATCAACAATTCTTCCAAGGCAAAAACCATTACGACCATCAGGAGTCCAAACCGATTTGTTTTCATTAAAATTTATTGACGGTGGCATTTTGCTTTAATCTAGATGAAAATTATATATAAAATTTTTTCTATAAATCGGGTTGTTGAGAACAAACTATAACCATTTGCTTGCTGTGTTGAAAACAAAGATATATATATATATATATATATATATATATATATATATATATATATATATATATATATATATATATATATATATATATATATATATATATATATATATATATATATATATTAAAAAAAAGAAATAAAGCGTCGCTAATTTTATTTAACTGGAGTTTAAAAAATAAAATAAAAAAGTTATAATGCAAAATTTTATTAAAATTAAAGATCATTTAAAATAAATCTTGAGTTTCTGTCCAAATACCTGTATTTGTAAAGGCTAGATGTATATTTTTGCAGAATGGAGAATGGTTACTTTATTGATTTCTATGTATTAATTCCTATATAATCTAGGATTTATTGACTGTGCCATCAAAATATTGGAAGAATAAATATTTAACAATTAAATGTATAGAAAGAGGTATCTCAAGCACTAATTTAAAACTAATCTGCAAAATATAAAATAAAAACAGTAAGAAATTTTTTGTTTAGAATTTAGAAATTTACTGTTTACAATTCATTATATTGAATCACGTGACCAAACGAACAGTTTTTAAAATAGATGTCCGGCTATTCCGTTGGCGAATGTCTGGCGACTATTTTGCTAACTGGTTTATTGGATAGTATCATTTGAGGGCAAAGTAAATATATGAAATAAAAATAACATTTAGGAAGAAAAATAAGTGCTTTTGATGTTACCGATTTTGGAGAAGTTTGAATGTTAAGTCACAATTTTCATGTGCATAAAAACGTAACACTAGATAAAACTTTATTTGATGTCAAAAAAATCCTATTTATAGTTTCGTACTTATGTTTTTTCTTATATTAATTTGAACATAAAATTAAACTAATTTAAAAAGAATACAATTTTTTTTAAATTTCTTTTAATAAAAATATATTTCATTAAAAGAAAACACACCTATAAACAATAATAATTGCGTTTTATTTTATAATGCCAACAAAAAAGATTATTTGTAGCGGAAAAAAAGCAATAGATTTTATAGAAATCATAAACAAAATGTGTTTAAAACATTATATATTATAGATTGAGATAAAAACAAGCCTTTTTGCTTTTTTTTATTGAAGTTTTAAATCCTTTTCAAAGACAATAACGTTTATTAAAAATAAAAATATATATTGAAGATAATGAAATGAAATAATAGCTTGATGACACTTATTATCAACTTTTACTGATGATAAATATAAGAGACTTAATTATTCTTTGTTTATTTTTTTGTCTTTTTTTTTTTAACTTTAGTAAAGACGGAAAGGCACAAAGATAGAAAGTAGTTTGTAGAACTTTTATAAATTTGAAATGATAAAAAGTTTAAAAAAATATAAAATATAAAAAGTTTGTTTTGAATTTTTCAAATTAATAATGAGAAGTAACCCATATAATAAATTAAAATTGATTTTTTTCATTATTTTTTTTAGAAACAAAACTTATTACTCCCTTAAGACTGACTTAGATTCTTTTCATTTTTTTGTGTGACAGTCCCTATGTTAATGTCTTTCGACTCTCTGCTGATTATTGCGCCTCCTACGTTATCTACTGGGTCAGGTTTGGTATCAAAGTTTATATTCCTTCTGGTCAGTTTCAAGTCAAGTTAGTCATTCTAACTCATAGTTTTGACAACAAATTTTTTGTTGCAAGAAATTTGTTCTCATGACAACAAATATTTTGTTGCAAGAAATCACTGTAAAAAGGTGCTCTTTGATGTTAAGCTCCAATACTTTCAAAAAAATCTTGTACTTTATCTCAGAAGTTAGACTCTATAGACTTTAAAAGAGTCTTCCACAGTGTCATTAACAATAGTAAGTTGAATATTCCGTTTCTAATACATGAATCAGATCTTATTAACTTTCCTTAGAATAAAGCAGAACTATTTGAAAAAAACTTTTCCTCATATTAGTCTTTTGAATCCAGTTTTCACTGCAAGAAATCCAAATCACTGAGGCTACTGATACTCATTTTATTCATTTCACTAATCAAGCCAAAAAAATAACTTCATCAATTTACTCATTGATAAAGTTATTTCTCTCTTAAACTCTTTTACTACTTGAGATTTCTGTCTTAAAAAAGTCTTCTCTAAAACTCTCTTGAATGCTTACTGAATTTTTATAAAGTGCTTAACTGAATCTTGTTTTCCTGCATGTTGGAAAAAATCTGATGTTACAAATTTCGAAAACTCTGGAGAACACTCTGACCACTCAAGATCACTCAAGATCACTCTGATCAAGCGATCTTTCATTTTAATCTAATTTTACTCAAGGTTTTTGAGTTTTTAATAACAAACTTTTAAAACATCTTAAATCTAATAACTCTCTGACATGGATTTTATCTTCTCATTCTACAACTCTCTTGTTAAGAGTAATAACAGAATGATTCTATCATGCATTAAATGGTGGCGGCAAGGCATAAGTTATTGATCCTGACATACTAAAGGCTTTCAATAAATTTCCTTCGTTTCGTGTACCTGGGAAGATTTTTTAAATTATTTAATTAATTTTTTCTTTTTGCGGTATTAAATTTGTCCTTGAAGACAACACGATTTTTTTTTCTTCCTGTAACTTCTAAGATACCACAAAATACTATCTTTGGTCCTGTATTATTTCTATCTACAATATTGATTATCTTAACAATCGTTATCTGCAACATTCTGTTGCAGAATTTTAGTGGAACTATAAAGGCATTTGGAGCGGTCCGCTGTAGTTTCGCTCATTGTTTACTTAGTGGACATTAGAGGCTGCCACCAAAAGTGGCTAGCCGATGAATAGTTACTATTAACATGTTGGACAATTATTGGCTGGCCACTTATAGCGGTTGCCGATAGTGGTCCAATAAATGACGATAAGCGAAATTCCAATGAACCGTTTAAAATGTCTACATAGGTTCATTACAAATTCCCTAAAACAGTGTTTCCTGTGTATCAACAACAACTAGCCTTGAAAAAAAGCTTTTAGATTGCTTAGAATAGGCAACCAATCTTAAATCTGATCTCTCTTCTGTAATATCTAGAGGCTTGCAGTGATTTGTAAACTTTAACTCAGTTTGTTACAAGTTACACTAGTTTGTTACAATAGTTACAAGTTACACTAGTTTGTCACAGCAAACTATTATCGCAATATTATTGATATTCCTATTTTGACAGCAACACTCTCAATGAATCTTTTACTTTTCCTACTACTTTATCCGGATTATTATTCTCAACTGAGCTCTAATGGAAATCATATATACAATTCATTGCAAAATTTATATCTACTAACTTTGCTTCTCTTTATCGTGCTTGCTATTTCCTAACACATGATTTCATCCTCAACCTCTGCAAATCTCTTATTTGTCCCTGTAAAACTTATTATTGTCATATTTGGGATAGTTCTTTTATTGATAGTTTTTTTCTTCTAAATGTAGTTAGATCTGCTCTATCGGTGTCCATCGTATTAAGGTTTTTTCTTTTTTTTAAAAAAGAAAATTACCATGGTCGCTGCTTAAACAATTTTCATATCTAGTTCTTTCAACCAAATCTCATTCTTACTTGATTCAGCAAAATTGTATCTTTTTATTGTATTTGTCTCTTGATGCCCTAAAAACTTTTTTTAATTTAGTTTCTTTCGCATTAATCCTTTGGAGCTCTCTCACCTCATTCCTTAATCATAAAACATTTTATTCGTTTTTTTAAGTATTCTGTCAATCGTTTTCTTATGCTTTAACGATATTCTGGTAACTCTGGTAACGATATTCTGGTAACTCTGGTAACGATATTCTGGTAACTCTGAACTTAAAATAATGTGGTTGTTTGCAGCTTTGTTATGAGTGAATTTTGAATTTTTTTAAGTATTTAAACCATTATTAAATTTTATATTTTACAATTGAATAAAAAAATACATTTTTTAGTCGGCATCACATTTGATTACGTATTCATGAAACGAGTAGGTGTGTTCACAGAACATAATTCTGTAAATAATTTAGGGTTAAATATGCTTCTATGCCAAAACTGAAGTAATGTTAACAGTTGTTTTAACAAATTTGTGTTTGTGTCCGTTTATCCCATAATATTTCACAAAGCGGAAATATAATTTTTTTTACACTTCCTTAAGACTTTTTAAATATTTTTCTACGGAATTACGTAGTTCCAAATTAAAAAATTTTAAATGTCTTCAATTTTGCGTTTTTGTTGTCTTGTTTAAAAAACATGTTTTTAATAAAAATTTTAGTTCAAATTTGTTAATGAGAAAATAGAACTTCTGCATTATACTTATTTTCAACTTAATGATATATTAAATTATTTAAAAACCCAGAGTATTGCTTTTTCTCTTAAAACCTTTGTTATCTATTGTTATAAAAAAATGATATAATTGGTAAACATGCTTTAACGTCCTATAAAGAAAACTACCATTTTAAAAACTCTTTGCTGCTGGTAAACTAAATTATTCCGGAAAAAAAGCTTTTCTAAATATTTGAATTTATTTAAATCATGTATAAAACTAAAAATGTGATGTCTTGTGTAAAAATATCAAAATATTTAATAGTTCTCGTATAACCTTTTTCTATTACTTACATATTTCCTTTTTTAGTAGGTTGTGATGTAACAGAGATTATGGGAGGTAACAGAAATTAAGAACAGGAGTAATTAATATATTTCAATGTATTGACCTCGGTTCTCTCCTGCTAAATTTATCCATATTTATGCATTCTAGAACAATTCATAAGCGTTTGGAAAACTTTTTTAAATTTTGTTTACTATTAATTTGTCATTTGGTACTCAAATCATAAGCTTTGAAACAGGTTTAACCCACAAAAATTATGAGCATTAGTTTTTTTTAGAGTAATAGCAGCCGTCGCGCAGTGGTGGCGCACTTGCCTCAGAAACAAAGAATCTGTGGTTCAAACCCCACCTCTGGGTAAGTCTTGCGACGTCGGTTAGGAAGGAGGCGTGAACTTCTAATTAAATGTTCATCCACGTGTTCTTTGATAAGACCCTAAGGACTTCTTGGGGAACCTAAATAGAATTAAAAAAAAAAAAATGGCTTTGAGTGAGTGTTTCATGAATATTACATATTGATGTCTTAAAGCGCTAAATTGCTGTATTTTTTTTGAAATTGTCAATTAACGCAAAGAGATGTTTTGTTGTCTCTTAAAACTATTATTACTAATAAACTAATGTTTATTTTTCATTTCATTGTCCAGAAGACATTCTATAGCGGAATTTCAGTTGACCTTTATAGGCATTTTGAGCGATCTATTGAGGTTTTTTTCATCGGTTACTTGATGAACCATTAGTGGGAGCCGGCAAGAGTTGCTTGCCGATGACTAGCCATTGTTAACATGTCGAAAAGTTATCGGCTGACCATTTATAGCGGCTGTCACTAATAATCCACTAAATAACCGATGAGCAAAACTCCTACGAGCCGCTCAAAATACCTATGTATAATGTAAGTTCAATGAAACAATGTTTGTTGGCAGTGTATGGTAAGTATAATGAATATTGTTTCATAAATTAAATGAAGTAAATAACTGTGAATTTGTATTTAACGGGAATATAATTTAATTCTGTTAAATTATAAAATATAATTTAATTCTGTTAAATTAAAATTTTAACTAAAAAAAGTAATTCAAATTGTTTTTATTTTACCAAGTAGAACAACAGTACAATGTTATAAATTAAAGATTTGTCTTTTTCCGACAAATTCATGGATACCAATATCACGATTTTAAAAAAAGTGGACGTATATCGATACCTTAAAGCATTTTTGCGTTTTAAGGGGTCAGGGGGCATTTCCCAATACCCATTTCCCCACCACGGCAATTGCATCTATCCATTTATTTGCAGCTAGACCAACCGCTTTTGTTTTTATTGTGACAACAAAGAATCACGGTTGACCGTAGGTTGTTGCTATATAGTTGGTCGTTCATTGGTCCAAAAATTTTTCAAAAATATCCAAAATAATTGGATACTAATAATTTTAACATCAAATATTTATTAATGACATTACAAAAAACATAATTAATACTCTTTATACTAAAATGAGCCCAAAATTTATTGAAATAAAAATATAAAGTTTTAACCTTATCCAGTAAAAAACCTGTAGTGCAGATGCGCGGTATTATCCAATGCTAGTTACGCGGTTTTGCACTATTCCCGATGATATTTAAAAATTCAGGTAGCAAGTTGTTTATTACACTTTGTAGCGCTTTAAATGTACTCAACAATTAACAATAACAATAACGATAGGCAAAAAAATACTTAGTTATTCATAATACAATACTTTTTATTCCAAAGTGTAAAAAGCTAAACCAATAATTCCTTGTCTTATTTGTAAAAGTACAAATTAAAATTCTTAAAGCACTTAAATATCTAAAAATTTCATTTCATCGGACATAAAAAAAATACTGATACAATTTTTGCGTAGTATATTTATTTACATAGATATGTACAAATTTATTTGAACACGTATGTCAATATTTATTATATTTCTGGTCTAAAAGCGGTTACAATTATATTAAATTTGTTTTGCATAAATAAGGCATGAATAAGGAAAATATAATAAATTTTATTTTCACTATATTTACAATTCAGTTTTTTAGATATATACAAAAATAATCACATGCAAATAAGTATATTTACAGGTTCTCTTGAAATACAGTAACAAAAAGTGTTATACAGGGAGACCAACTTGCTGCATTTTAAACTCTTTGAACTGTTTTTTTTCAAGTTCTGACATTAATTGATTCATCATATAAATCTAAATGATTAGCCAAACTGCAAGATAAACTTACAAAATATAAAATAATACACAATAACAACTAGAAAAACTGTCGTTGTTTACAATTAAAAAAAGATCCTATAGTTTACAAAGTTAACAAGTAACAAAGTTATAAATACCTGCTGTCTTTGATATAGTTTCCTTTGCTCAAAAATCTCTTCTTCCTTTCGCTTTTCTTCGGCTCTGATTTTGTTTACAGTCTTTTGTAACTTGGTATTTTGCTGATTTTCTTAAAATAATATACTATTAATATAAAAAAATAAAAATTATAAATAAAAAAGCAACTTAAAACCAAGCTTTCTATTAGATTCAAGCCATATCCAAGTTTTATAAATACACAGTGTTATATAAGAAAAGTTACACACAAAAAAAAAATTAATGGATGATACAGTTAAAAATTGTATGTGCTATGTGATGACGATGTAATTATATGGTATTTTTTAGTAAAGTAAAGATTGCACATTTTCCTCCAAGTTTAAATGACTGTGTCCTATAAATAATTCTATATGTTAGAATTGGATTTATAAAACCTTTTTTGATTTCATTTATATATTTAAAATGTTTTATGAAATTTGCTTTTGGACAGACAATAATTACTATGATCCTCAAGCGTTCCATTAAAACTACAACACATGTTTTAATTTCTAATTACATTTTTATAACTTTCCTCGGAGAGGGTATTACAATTTTTACTGGCATTTGCACAAGTGCAAGCAATTGAGAATATTAGATCATTTTTTGTTTGAACTTTTTTTCGTTTGAACTGGGAGAAAACTGTGCTATTCTTGTAAGCTGAATATTATTTTACATCATCATACTACAAAATCCATTTCTCTCTAAATGGTCAACCCTGTTTGGGCTAGTTTGCTTGGTGGAAATAAATAGATTTGGAGCTTTTGTATATATTTGTGATTAAGGAGAATTCAAATTTTGATAGTCAATGCTTACATACAAAAGTTGTACATACAAATGTCATAAAAAATTTCAATGTGTATAATATATTTACTTATATATTATACGCATTGAAATAAATTTAGGCAATTTTTAATTTAGTAAATTACAGTTGCTAAAATAATTCTAACATATAGAATAATTTATAGCAACAATAATTTACTTTATTATACAAGATAATCTAAAAGTTAAAGATAAGAAATTTGTTTTTATATCAGCATTTTGAATGATTTTTTTCAATCTTTCAAGAAAGAGGAAATGAAAAATTGCTTAATTAATTTTATTTTAATGGGTATAATATATTAGTAAATATATTATACGCATTGAAATTTTTAAATATAATGGACTTAAGTCAAATCTTAAATATATAAAGTGGTTTATAATCTTTCATGAAACAACTTTTGTATGTTAACATTGACTATCAAAATTTGATTACTCCTTAATCACAAATATATATAAAAGCTCCAATTCTATTTATTTTCACCAAGCAAACTAGCCCACACAGGTTTGACCATTTAGTGGGAATGCACTTTTTATACAAAAAGAATTATTTCAAAATATCATATTTCTTTGTGATGATGATCTATTTGCAACTAATATAACCTAACGTTTTACCAGCACACAGTGGTCCAGTACCATGCCATAAATAAATAAAAAATTTTGTTTTATAATAAAAACAATTAAAAAATTAAACTATATATGTTATGTGAAAAGCAGATTGAAATTTTTAAGGTCCGTAATTTAAAAAAAATTGGTTTAAAGTTCAAAAATTGAAGAAATTTATATTTTTTAGGCAAAAACCGGTCTACCAATTTTTATACACGCTCATTCCTGCTAATGTCATAGATAAATCTTTTTTTTTTAATATTCTTATAAAATATGGAAAATCAATATACAATAATTTAAAATATACAATTTTATAAAAAAGGCAAAATTAACCGTATGCTTAACACTTTTTTATTAAAAACTGTTTGAAACTAAAACATTGATCAACCAGGAAAATTTTCACCCAGGTTTGCCCACCTTGAAATTTTTTGCGTTTAAAAATATGTTGTTCATAGAAAATTTTTGGAAAAGTTTTGTCTGCTTTTGTATCTATAGGATCGTTTTAAACATGATGTACTTAAACTAAAATGCAGTTCCCTCTCTCAATTCCAATGTTTTTAAATGAGTTTTAACCGTGATATTGAATAGCGGAATATTCTAGTATAAAAGTGGACCAAAGAAAACATAAATAAAACAATCAAATAAAACAAACCTCAACAGCAAGTTATGATAAAAAATGTACAATGAGGTGCACCTTCAAAATCATTTGAAGATTTCTCAACAAGGTCTAAGAAAAAAAGATCTTCAGAGATTACTGAAATGTTAGGTGTTACCACTGAAAGTCTGTTTCATGCCCTTATTCTTAATCTCAATAAAGAAGGGCAATTTAAAGATGTCAAAGTTATTAAACATTTGATGGAAAGTAAAACTGATGGATCCTGTAATATACCATGCTCTAAAAAAGCTACTCAGCAGAAGAAGCTTTAGCTTTAATGTTAGACGGCAGAATGAGTAGGACTGACTATCAAACTATCCGTCAAGGGGCCTTAGATAAAGTTTGCATGTTATACCCTGCCTACAATTTTATTGTGAAAGCTAAAAGTGATTGCATTCCAGATTCTGGAATTGTCACATCAAACTACAGTGCTTCTGTGAATCTTTAAGGTATAATGGATCACACTACAAACAAAATTTGGAAAGTTATGGATAATTGAAACTGCCTGGGCCTTTGCAATACTCTTCTTCTTATAAGCAAATTCAGATTCAATGGTTCATCTGGACAGCCTGTTTATAAACAGAAATCTGAAAATGAAGAGGACAGATTGCCAGTTCCAGTTGAAGAATCTTTGTTTCTATCGTGTACAGTACCTGTGCAACTTAAAATACAGGAAACTAATGTTATTTTTTGGACTAACCCTAAAATTAGACAAATTAGAATGTACTATGATTGATAAAAATAAAAGAAAAAAATAGTTGAAAGTCGAAAAAAAGAAATTCAGGAAAAAACTAAAGATACACTCGGACTTATTGTTGATGTACCAAAAATTGATGGCTCTGATACATCCAATGATGGAAACACTGCGAGAAAGGCATTTAGAAGCCATGAAACTTTTGCTGAAATACTTTGAATTGATAAGGATCTTGTTAAAAGAATTTTCATTATTCTTTGTGTATTGTCCTGTAAGCACTCAATTGATCCAGATAAACTAGAAATGTATTGCAAAGATACATTTAAGACATATGTAGCACATTTTAAATGGTACACAATGCCTGCTGATGTACACAAGATGATTATTGATTCACACCAGGTTGTAAGAGACAAGCCAGTTCCAATTCGCCTCTTATCTGAGGAAGCCCAGAAAAGTAGAAACAAAGATGTTAAAATTTTTAAGAACATTTTACAAAAAAATTTTCTAGAAAAATTACAAATGAAGATGTAATGTAAAGATTGCTCTGCTCATCAAATCCTTTTATTACTTCTATGAGTTCTGAATCAAAAAACGAACTTGCTCTTCCAACAGAATGTTCAGATCTTTTTTTGTAATTTTCTTAATACAATTATATTCTTTATTGTATTCTTAATTGTAGTATTGATAATATGGGTCCTAAATAGATTTACTTTATTTTAAAAAATCTGTAAAAAGCTGCATGTTTACAATAGCACATTTATTTTTTAAGTAGGGATTTGTGACGTGTTTCATTGTTGTTTTTTAAAAATCAAACCCTTTATAATTATGTATTTTTAAATAGCTCAGTTTAGTAATAAAAAAAAAATTAGAAATATTAAAGACAGTTTATTTTTATTTATAATCTCAGTGTAAAACCAAATTATGCGTTCTTTTTAAGTAGTTGTATGTTCTTGCTGTGCCCCCATATGCATAAATAATTCATGTTTAGGTAATTATAAAATATGTGTCTTGATGATTTTGTTTATTAATTGACCAGAAAATCAAACTATTAAAATCAGTATTATGGAAATAAGTTTTATCATTTAGAACTAAAAATAAATGTAAATGCAAAAAGCATGTCACATGTTATGTCATGTGTCCTTGGTGTGCTATTTTAGAGTTTGTTTATTTTACACATTAATATTCTTAATATTTGTAAGTGTACCATAAAAGTTATTAAATTAATTTAGATATTGTCATGAAAGTTATTAAATTAATTTAGATATTGTCACGTGTCTACTTTTTTTCCTTGGTTTTGTCCTTGTGTCATATGTTGTGTCTACTTTTTATCATTGGTGTGCTACTCTACATGTTTATGAAATCTATCAAGATGTAATAAATGTGTAATTTGTCCTCCAGAGAATATTTAGCTAAAAGGTATTCCAAAAATGATTATTTTAAAATAAATATGTTAAATGTAAACTATTACGCTATGTGTTCATGGTGTTCTGCACATGTATGATATTTGTTAATTAAACAAAAATATTTCATACATGCTGGTGATTATTTTTAGTTAATAGAAAGTTGAAAATTAAATATGAAATATGTATCACATGTTTATTATTCATTATTTTTATTTGTCTTTGGTTTCATGTTATTGGTGTGTCCTTCAGAGGTATGACAACCAACATTACAATGATAGTTATTGTTGGCCAGGGTATAATGTAAATTCAACAAAAACTTTAGCTTTTTAGCTTCAAAATTGGCGAAGATATGATTTTTGCTTCAAAAGCAACATTTCTGGACCACTGTGCAGCATTATTATTAAGCATTAATGCTAATTTAAATATTATAAAAATTGAATATTACTATTAAATATTATTTATAAAACAATATCAGTTTAAAACATTAATTTACAATATTCATAAACATTAAAAAAATAATTGAAAACAAAATAACTTTTCAAAACATACCAATTTTCTTTAATTGCCGCTGGATTTTTCTTTGGCTCTAATAAAACAAAACAACATTTTTCCATTTGTTAAAAAATAAATAAAAAAATAAATAACTAAATAACTAAAAAGTTACTTTTATATCTGAAAGGGACGAAGTAAAATCAACAATATAACCTGAATAAAATAAAAATACTTCTATTATTTAAAATTAATAACAAAACAAATAATAAAATTATTAATAAAATAAATACAATTAGAAAAAATTAGATTTGTCAAACTTACATGGAGTTGATGGTGGAGCAGATGGTATGCCCAAAATTAAACCAGATTGTCTATCTGAGTAAAACACTTTTCTTGTCTTTATGGGTAAAGAAGAATCTAATATATTTGGTTCTCTCTTGCAAGAATTTTGTAATAAAAACCCTTGCGTGCTATATAATAATTTGTGGTTTTTGATTTTTTCTGAAAACAAATTGTCTTGAAACTTTCTTGTATCGAGACATGTTGAGTCTGATAAAGACTTGAAGTTTCTTAGAGGAGGATTTGAAACTAATTTTAAACTCTCTGGTTCCTCTTTGATTATCTGTTTCTGCAGATTTTTTGATATTACATCTAAAAATATTTTGGATTAGGTAAGATGAACATTCTATCTGCTACATTCTTTTTTTTTTCTTTTGAATAATCGAAATTACTTAATAAATAAAAATAAGTTAATAAGTGGAACTCTCAACATATTTTTATTTATTAATAAAAAGTCCTATACATATATTTAGGAATATATATATATATATATATATATATATATATATATATATATATATATATATATATATATATATATATATATATATATATATATATATATATATATATATATATATATACACACATATATGTATATATATATATATACAAATAGTATTGTGTACTAAGGTAAGCAATCTGACGTCATACTGAAAAAGCCTGCTGCTGGGGGCTTCAGTACATACATCGACTGAAAAATAGCCTGACTTGCAGTGGAGTGCTGCTACATCAACTGAGGGTTTGGGATAAGGCAGCAATAGTTTCATTCATCATTCTTCTTTTTTTTTTCTTTCTTTTTCTGAAAAAGCCGTATGGGATAAGGTAAGCAAAATAAGTGAGCAAATGTTTATAAAAATACACTTTAGTAAGTGTGTGTATATATATATATATATACATATATATATATATATATATATATATATATATATATATATATATATATATATATATATATATATATATATATATATATATATATGGGCAATTTCGCGAAAGTGGCGGTCGTAACATTAGACACTCTTTAAGTTATTAAAAATGAACTGAAAGTGAAAATGACTTGAAACTTTCCAGATATGTGAAATACATTCATATAATTTTGTATTTAAAAGTTAAAGTATTAAACTCTTCAACTTTTTCAAAATTTAACTCTAAGTAGCATGACAGACATAACGCTTACTTTTTACGACTTCTGAACAAAACAACTTTGCCAGACTTAATGCTGCAAACAGGATGGTGAAAAAAAAATCCTTTGGTGTGTGTATTTAGCATATACTCATGTTATTATATGCTGAGTTTCATAGTTTTTACTTTTTTTGTTGTGATGGTCGTAAAAAAAAATCCATTGCTTAAAAACAACAAATATAACAACACAATAATGATGTAAGAAAAAAAGTATAAATAATTATTTACAACCATGTATATTATGTTAAAAGAATGCAATATAACATTATCAAAGTTTTAAATTATGGATATACGGTGTGATTTTTAACACTACACGACAAGGTTGTAAATAAACGTCAAAACACATTTATATGACCGTTACAACTTTAAAACCATGCTGTGGTATGATAAAATGATTTTTTTAAATTACTTTTTTGCTCAAAAGTATTTTAAAATAGTTAAAAAAAAAAGAGTTTTGGAGTTTACTATGTGTTTTCATAACTTTTTCGCTTTTTTTTTTCCATTTACTCGCGGAATTGCTATATAAATATATAAATAAATATATATATATATATATATATATATATATATATATATATATATATATATATATATATATATATATATATATATATATATATATATATATACATATATATATATATATATATATATAAATATATATATATATATAAATACATATATATATATAAATATATATATATATATATATATATATATATATATATATATATATATATATATATATATATACACCCTATAATATTTAAACATTGTTACATCGTAACAATAGTTTTTTAATGTTACATATTACGTAACGATACATAAAATGTTGACCTAATGAGACACAACATTGAAACCTATGGTATCTTTCTAAGTTATGCTTATTTTTCCTTATTACATATCTTACAAGGCAGGATAACAGATTTGCCCTTATTATAGATACTGTTTAAGATTCTGAGAAAATCATGGGAGCCTAATTTTTGAGATGAAATACGAGATTTCATGACCTGAGAATAGCGGGCTTTGGCATTAGACAAACCTTTTTACAAGGGTTTCTAGCAATAGCAAACAGACATTTGTTTTCTGGAGAATTGTTTTGCAGATAGATATGAAAGTAATGGGATTTGTTAAAGACCTTGAATCAAAGCACAGATAATACTCAGTACACTATTTAATAATCCAAGCAATTGCCTCATTGCTATTAACAAATCCAAAGCCATAACAAAGGGCTCCAAATGTGGCCAATAATGTACACCAAAAGTACAAACAGGGACACCATTCATGAGCAACAAGACACTATTAGTACTCTGACACTTTACAGCTGTTGATGGAATTAGCCTCTCTGATTGTTATTACAGAGTTCTGAAAACCTGACTATCAGCCAGCCTCAGAACCATAAAACTGAGTTTTAGAACTGCACCCTCATTAGGAGGTAATAGAATGAGTTGCCTAGTCATAAAAACAGAGGCAAAAGCAAAACCCATGCATTGAGTCAAGAAGATCCAGCATTCAAAATTCTAAACTGGAAACAATGTATTGCAAATACATCTACGCCAGCCTAATAAATGAAGAAGAATTGTGAGGCTGGTTAACAGATAGAATCTGTTTACCCTTTAAAATTATACCATGGAGACATGTTGGGGAGTACATGCAAGGAATTTTTTTCTTTACCCTCAAAATTTATTTTAATCCTAAAAATAGTTTTAAACCTACAACAGCTAGTACACTTGGTTTAACAAAATTATGGGCTCAGGTTAATTACGGGATAGAATTTTTACTTCCTTAAATTGGGAAGCATTTGTTAAATTGAAACTTAATTTGAAACTTAAATTGGGAAGCATTTGTAAATTCATCAAATAAAGATGAATTTACTGATGCTGTAAATTCCAAAAGTTTCAGTTCACAAGAAGGTTTATCTACATTGAGAGTTGAACTATCTATTATTTTTTGCAATAACAGTTTTTCAACAGAAGTGTTTATATGACAAGTTAGCATTTATTTTCTTAAACATTAAAAAAAAATACAATACAGATATATACTAAAAACAATTTTTTTAATTTTTATATATAAACTTTTAAAGCATATGATAACAAAAATAGCAGCGCAAAAAAAATAATATGTGGAAATCAAAACAAAGTTTCGTGATGCCGAAAAAATTCGCTTTATGTGATTTTATTTTGTCTTGAGAAAAACAGCCTGTAACTATCATTAATTTGCGCACACTTTGCAAATGCATGAAATATTGTATTGAAATAATAAATAATGAATAAACTCAATAAGCACATTTGATATATCTAATAATTCATTAACTAGAATAAAAGTTGTTTCAAAATAAATGTCCCTTATAGTTTAATAAAAGATTATTTGAATAAAAAAATTATTTGAAAATAAAACTCCTTTATTTGACATTATTCTCTTAAATTAGATGTCTGTCAAAAAATAAAGATATATATATATATATATATATATATATATATATATATATATATATATATATATATATATATATATTTTAAGTAATATTTTGGCTCATATAGTAAGAGACATTATCAAACTAATAAAACCGTTAAAAAAAACGTTTAAAAAATTATAATGAAATGACATTATTTGGTTATATAATTTAAAAAATTATATAACCAAATGATGTCATTGCAACGTCAGATATTAAACATTTTTTAGTTGTAAAACTATGAGCCAAAATATTAATTAAAAAAGAAATAAATATGTATGATACCATATAGGGGAGAGCAGGTAGGATTCGTACAGTGGGAGCATTCGTACAGTAGGCATATCTAGACTATTTTTTGTTTTGACACATTTATATTTATGTGTGTGTGAAGATCACTAATGCATAAAGGCTAACAGCTTAGTGCTGTGGCAGTGCCATCATAATCGTCATTGGAACAAGTCGATACGTGTTTTTGCACTGCTAAAGTAATTTTACATATAATCTTCGAAAACATTTATTTGTAATAATTTCTTATCCAATTAATGAAATAATTTATTATGCTTTTTGTATAAGTGTCTTATATTAATATTTAAACAATAATTTTCTAATAACCTTCTCTGTTATTTTTATTTTCAATTTATAAGTTAGTTGTTATGGTTATGGCACATTCGTACAGTAATATGGGGAGGATTCGTATTATAAATATGTATGAAAAAACACGCGCAGCCTGTTCTAACTGATTTCTAGGAGAACCTAGAAAAGCTTTTGAGAAAATATATATTCTCTGCAGAAAGGATATATAGTTTTGTTTATATTATGTTTAATATTTATTTTGTTTCAATTTTAATCTTATAAAATGTTTATTTTCAATAAATACATTTTTAACTTTGTAATAAAGTACTGAACAAAAAACTGAATTTATATATATATATATATATATATATATATATATATATATATATATATATATATATATATATATATATATATATAAATTTAAACAATTTAAAATGTATTCTACAAAAAGAGTGCTCAATGTTCTTAAAAGAACAGAGCAATTACAAATTAGTAGAAAATCACTTAGCAAAATTTTTTCTCATTTAACACTGTGTTTCATTAATAAAGACTCATCAGAAAATCTATATATATATATATCTATCTATCTATCTATCTATATATATATATATATATATATATATATATATATATATATATATATATATATATATATATATATATATATATATATATATATATATATATATATCAGCGACATATCCAGGCCGATTTTGATACCGGTATACCAGTATGGGCCCCAAATTTCAGCATAAATTCAATTTAAAACAATTTCATATTAGCATTTGTTACGATATTAATGTCGTTTAAAAAAACCAACTTTTGAAAAAAGACTTTTAAAATAAATTATAAATGTATTTTAAGCCAACCAGAATGCTTAATTCGAATTCACGTTAATGAAATATAGAATATGTTGTAATTGGATTAAATGTAAAACGCATGTTTTGATTGGATATGAAACGCTTAGCACTTTTAAATAGCATTTTTAAAATACTAATGTATTTTTAAAATGTACTAAGCGTTTCATATCCAATCAATTTGAGTTTCTCCTCTGCTTCGTTTTCATAACATAATTTTCAAAGCGGTTAAACTATATGAG